CCTAAAAAGTAAGCAGAGGAAAAAAATAAGTTTCCTTCAATTTACATATTTATTCCTAAATTCTGCGTTTGCCCCGGAGCGCGGATTTAACGAACCCGGAATATGCGCAGCTCGCACTGCGATTTACAACACTTTAACATCGTCGGCTCTTGTTATTATATTACAAATTCTATCTGGGGGGCTGTTCCGGGGGGCAGAGGAAAGTCTCCGCTCGGGTTAAAAGGAATAGATTAAGTTGATGTATCTTGTTCACGCTTCGCTCAATAAAATGGAGAAATCCATTTCCTCACAAGGAAGGTGGAAGTTTATCACAGGAGCCACGCTGAGCTTTAGAAGATGCCAATGACTACATTTTTGGGGGGGGGAGGGGGGGGGGGGGGGGGGGGAGTAATGTGCGGGATTATTCCCCATACCATGTCTAAAGATGAGGAATCTTTACACGCCTGTCACTCCTGATCACCAAAGATATTCCTATTCCCATTGTACTAAATCCCCAGCATTGGTTTTTACACACCGGACCTTGTGTAACGCAGGAGGAGAATAAAGAGGACCTGTCACGGCATCTTCCAGCAAAGCAATATGGAAACATTGTTATTAAAGTGACACTAAACTCAGGAGATAAATCTTAAAAATACATTCAAGTCCCTGAACTGCATGGCAACCAATCAGCTTCTCTCTTTCATTTTCAAATCTTAACTGAACAAACTAAAGAGAGAAGCTGATTGGTTGCCATGCACAGCTGCTCCAGATTTTCTCTGCTCCAGTTTTGATACATTTCCCGCATTGTTCTTAATAGTTAAGGGACTTGAATGCATTTTCAAGATTTAATTCCTGAATTTAGTGTTACTTTAATGATTGTAACGGCATCAAAAATATATAGAAGTTTGGGGAAATCACTCAATACCAGGGGCGTCCCGAGGCTGGGTGTCATCGCGCATGTGCTGTCGTCTTTTTTTTTACGCCTGCCAGTGGCCATCTTGGTGATGGACGTCGGCAGAGAGAGGAGGGGACGTTCACCCGGTGGGATGAGGTATGCCGCTGGGTCCCCTCTTCTCTCCTGACACTGTTGGGCTCTCCGCCCCCGACTTTTCATAGGGGGTGACACCAAAATGACAGTCAGTCATTTTGGTGTCACCCCTCCAATGGTGGCACCCGGATGCGGGCCGCACCCCCCTTGTGACGCCACTGCTCAATACACATGTACAAGGATCAGTGTAATAAATCAGACAGCAAAACAACAGGGGGCTTTGCCACAGGAGCTAACAATCTAAAAAAAAAAAAGCCTCCTCCACGCTGTCACCCACCCATCAAGGCATTCTGACATTTTCATAACTCCTGCTAAGAGCCAGCCTACTGCTTGCTACAGGGCTGAGGGCTTTTGAGAAGAGTATAGAGGCAGGGTGTTGTGGTGTTTCCAGCAAGCTATGTACAGCACCCTGCCAGGCCCCTCCCACCAGCCTGGTCTGCCTGCATTGCACAGAGAAGCATAGAGACCCAGTAATGACATCACTGGGGGGGAAAAAATAAGGTGTGTAATGGAAATGGAAAGGTTTTATTGAAACATGTTGATGAAGGGGGGAGCAGGAAGGCAAAATATGAGCAGATAAAACTTCAGCTTTATTTTTTATAAATGTATTTAATTTCACCTTCTCTATTGACTTCAATACATTATGCCAAAATCTCCCAAATATTCACCCTAAAATTAAGGGAAATTAAAATGCTCATCCCTAATAAAGGATACATAAGATCAGAGGG